GCTCGCGATGGGTATAGTCGAAAAACAGCTTTTTTTCTTTGCATACCGTTCGCCGCCGCACGTAAAACAGTTTTATCGTTCGCAAAACAGACAGCGGCTACCGGCAGGAAGGTTATCGTTATGCCATGCGCCCATGCGACATACACACCTATCTATTCTACCTGTGATTATACCTGTGAGTGTGACACGTGGCGTGTTGAAACATCGTCTGCAGGAGGGCAAAATAAAGTTATGTCAAAATTAAAAATTTTCACTAAATTAAAACAAAAATAAATTAAATTAAAAATAAATTTCAAACAAACAATAGTAAATTACATATTAACACAATAAATTTTTATAAAAACATTGAACATGTTAAAAATAGATTTTCTTATTTTCATTACTTAAATAAAGATTGAAAGCCCTGTTCGAACCTCCATTTCATTGTTTCCGCAACCATTTGTTTCGATAATGTACGTTTCAAGTGAAGTAGATAGGATGTTAACACGAGCAGGAACAGCCCGCCGCAATCTACTATATCAATAACACGTGTACGTGGGCGTGAAAATGAAATTTATACCAATCGCAATCACACACACCCACATACACACACTACAATGTGAAAAACCAATGGATATTATTTAAACCACACACCGTGTAGATAATCAAGTTTGCATAATTTAAATATGTGCTCAGTATCTCGTAAAATCGGCGCGCAAAAACAAACGCGCCCGGTTGCACATATAAAATCAGTCGCGTGATGTTTATTCAAAGATTAATTGAGCGCGTCTCATGAATATTTGACGATAACCATTTTTACGCTCGTTTATGCTGATAAGCTGACGTTCCACAGCATATTTTTTCCTCATGCTTGCATAAAATAGTTTTACAGCTCTAGAGCGGTAAAAAAATTAAAAGATTTTTTTTATTTTCGTTTAGTTTTAGTTCTCACGAGTAGTTCTAATGAATTTGTGCATATGGTGCTATGCAAATAAGCACCATTCATAAATGGTTCGCAAATGAATTCCGCGACAAGTACGCGACGACGTCGACGGCGGAAAAACGCGCATAATTAAACATTCAGCTAATTACGCGCATACGTACCACCACTCGACACGACGCGAGCATTATCAATTTTCATTCGCGCTGACTGGATTATCCGAAAGCTGCGGTCGTAACGCGCATTTACATAATTTTGATAACTCTATATTTAGTGGGTGTGTTTGTGTTTGCGTTGTCGGCGGCGGTGAGGGAAAATATTAGATCGATTCGCGGCGTGTAAATTTGCGTGCATTTGTCGTCCGTTTCAAGCAGGCAAGCAAGGGTGGCCCCGGGGGTTAATTCGTGGGCCTACGGCACGCGAACGACTATTTCAACTTGACGCCACGCCGTAGGAAATGTCACCATAAATAGTTTCAGCGTTGTCATTGTGTGTTTTGTCGGTGAGCAATGCGCAGCGGGCTCTTGTTCCAAATTTAGTTGTTCAAAACCCAGTGAAAGAACGACCAATAATGCTTACTTCCGGTACACGCATGCGTCACAACATAACCAAGTTTTTAAATAGTCGCGTGTGTGAGTGGTTGCCAGACTAGTAGTCTAGTATGATAATTATCAGCGCGCACGCGAGTTACGAGCATTGAGGACAATTATGTCACACTTGATATTTATATTCGTTAGTATGGTCTATGAAGCATGCTTGTCCACCTACCCACCCAGCCCGACCACGAGTCGTAAAAGTAGTTATTTGCCGTAAGCTCGGCGCACGAATTTAATGCGCGCGCTAGAAAATCCGAGCGACGGAGTTATTTCGTCAGGCACGGATCGTCGCGTGGCGGATATCATAATTACGAAAATTAACAAAATACGCGCGTCGACTGGTGTGTAATGTGGATAATGTTGCCTGCCCATCACATTTCGTAGATATGTGCGCGCAAAGCCATGGATAAAGTTGTTTAATCTGTTCAAAATATGACAAACAGTTAAAATTCCTTGTGCTTCAAGCACTACGAGTAGACTAGTGTCGTATATAAAATTTTATTATTACAATAAATTTATAAATTTATTTCCTTTATAGAAATAAAAAATTTAGTTTTTATTATAATTATAAACTTTTGCCCGCGATTTCGTTCCGGTAGTGTTTAATAAAAATATAAGTCGTTTTTACTCTCTTGTTCTAGACATAGTATGTGTCAATTCTATCAATAAGATTCGCAATTTTATTTTAAAGAAATTAATTATATAAAGAATTGCTATTAATGCACTTCAGCGCGCCATCTCGGATTCAACTATTGAACTATAACTATGATTGAATTTCAATGTCAACTTTTTTCCTATAGAAAAGGGCGGTGTTTAGAGTTTTCCCGGCAATTATTCGAATTTTTCTCGCCGTAAAAACCATCCTTGGACTTTAACGAATATTTAAAAAAAAGAATTGGCCAAATTAGTCTAGGCGTTGTTGAGTTATGCGCTTACCAACACATTTTGCGATTCATTTTTATATTATAACGTCAAAATTTTTATTTTATTAGAAAAAATTGCATCCAAAACAAAATAATTAAGTTTTATTGCAATAATTTGTTCATATTTACCAACTAGTCAATTAGTGCATCAGTAATTTTAATTAAACCTAAATATAATTAAAGAATATGCTCGGCGTCTAGACGAATACGCTCGAAAACATAAATAACCAGCCACACACAATGCAAATGGTGAATTTTTCTACTGCGGACATTATTGTTGTGTGTTGTGTGCACGCCGTATTAATGAAATATCACGCAGAACGCAAAACGTGCACGCCTGAAATAATATCATGTGGATGTGTGCGACATTGTGCATTGGACCTGAGAGCGCCCCAATAGCCAATAATCTATTCCGCTCTTTATGCCAATATGGTCAGAATAACCGAGTTATTATTAATATCGTCCCGCATCAAACGAACTAATGTAAATTAATTATTTTCATAACGGTTAACTCAAATTTAATAAACAATTAATTTGTTTTTCCGGTGCGTCGGTGAGCTGTGGCAAATTTTGCAACGCGAAACGAATATAACTCACAATTGTGTTTGCCAAGTTAATAGAGTCGAGTTGATTAATTCAATTGAGCATATTTTTAGTTGATAAAAATTATTTTTGTATATTATACATTCGAAAACACTATTTTCCCATTTTTATTTTTAAATTGCCAGTTTTTCCACGGTTTTAGACACAAAAATTGTAATTTAAACAATAAAGTACTTTAGTCACGAGTTTTAGTCATGGGGTGGAGCTTGCGCATGCGCATTTGCCTGTGGCGCAACCGTTGTTATGCGAAAAAAACTCCAGTTTAGTCGCTTGATACTTAAAATACAATTTTCTTCATTATATCATCGAAAATAATATTTTCTAAACAATTTAGTAACATTGGAAACAATTTATGACGTGAAAACATTGTTTTCCATATCGGGGAGTAGAAAGCACCACAAATTAATTCATTGTTTTCTACCCTAGGTATGTAATGAACAATTTTTTGTAGAAATTTGTCCAAAAAATGCATTCCTGCACTGAAACACGCAAAAAAGATGAAATATCACACTGCGAGAAAATCAAATAACCGTTGCAGACAGTAAAAGCTATTTATATTAATTCCATTCATGGATTTAACCATAATTACCTGTACGAAGCGAGGGATTATGCTAACAAAACGTACGACTAACAAACATAATACGGTTTACAGCTTGCTTGGCGCGCGCGCCTGCATTTCTCTCCTTCTGCCGCCGCAGCCCGTACCAGCCACTTTAGTTCTCTGTGTGTCGCGCGTGCATGCCGCCTCCGACTGGCGCGCTTGTTAACGATGTCGCCGGCGTTGTAATTACAAATGTTCTTATTAGAGTTATAGGAAGTGCTAATCCTCGGGGCGGTGAATTGCACCGAAATGTATGAAAGCGAACGGTGTCATTTTCTTTCTTCAAACCATACATAAACATAACCTAACTTCAACGTAAATATTTTTTGTCCTGACATTATACTTGTGATTTTCTCCTATGAATTCACAACAAAACATAAATTATAAATGTGTGTATCGTAAACTATTGCTCTATCGTCAGTAAACAATAACGAAACAAGCATGAAAATGTTTTACGAGTATAGCTGAGCTGCGTTCACATCAAACAACAATAGCAAATCATCGCATGACCTACGCACACGCTAGAACTCCGAAGCTGAGCTTATGTTGAGACCAAATAAAAATCGAAATATTCGCTTGTTTCTCTATGCTCTTCTCGCTGTGCACGCCGAAAAATTGTTGTTTTTGTGTGTGTACGCGCACAAATCGCGTCTATTTTGTTATTCGCCAGCACTCGCGCGCTTTGTTATTCATGGGCATTAATTTTTAGCAAAAAATTACGATTCGCATTTTACAATAAAGCACAATTGCTTTTTGTATTTCCGTAATGGCATTCGAGTTGCGGTGAGCGGGCAAAAAAAACGCGCGCGCGTAAAACGAGTTTCCTGCTTAAAATATAGCGCGTAACGTAATAACGAGAGGAAGTGGCGAATGTTGTTGTGTCGGGGGCGGCTTCGGTACCAAATACATTATTACGCATTCCACGCGAGTCTGCCAAACGGACAGTCCTTGTTTGCACCGCGCGATTGTTTATATTGAATAGATGATATTTGTAGCGTTTGTGCGCATTTCGAAATATTGTAGTTTTTCGCCGACCGCCCTCGACTCGGACAATTGATATTGAACGACATAAATTCATCAAATGACAATTGAGACCATACTTCAAATGAAAATGAATTGGAGGATGGTGCGAGCCATCCACATGTATTGACATCATGTCACTTGTCATACACCAACGCGAAAAAAATCACCGCGTTTCGAAAAACAATTCTTTATTAAACTTTGCCAACAAAATTAATTATAAAGTACTGAAACCGTGCTGAGCATAATAATAAATTTCTAATTAAAAGCTCAACTCAATGTTTCCACTTTTGCTTTCTTTGTTGTTTCACTGGTTTAATGAAAATTGTTTGTTTCAGATTTTGATCGACCTATAAGGTAAATGTTTACGTTGCTTCTACCTAATCCTAAACCAACACAATTTCATAGATAAATCATAGTTTAGTTACTCGAGTTAAACCGATGTTTTGATAATCGACACGAGTCAAACTAGATAATATATGTTCAACAGCTAATTAACACTCAACAACCACAAAAAAGACTAAATTTGAGTATTGAAACATTAAAATAATTAATTACAGCACATTAAACACGATCTAGATTAAAGAGATTCTCGGTTTTGGATTTTCACCGACTTTCCGAATATCAACAAAACTTACTCGGCTGATTTTCCATCATTTTGCGCCGACGCCATCACCCCGAATATCTCGCACCAAACGTGAGAGTTAATTATTCAATGTGTAGTTATTAAATTATGATTTACGATGTTGGCAGTTATAAATTGAATTGATAGGAAACAAAGCTTTAGTCTAATAAGATTAATGGATGATCATTCCAAGTGAGATACGCAGATCGGGCGATCGATTCGGAATTCATCATAAAGATGAAATCTGAAAAGTGAAAAATCTGTATTTTTGCATGAAATAATCGCGTTCTTTTTCATTCGTTTGCGTTCAATTCGTTATTCACATGCGATGAAAGCATTCCATATGATTAACATGCATGAGAAAACGAAAACGCCGAAAGCAAATGATATTTAAACATGGAAATCCTTCTTTGAACACCAACCGGGCCAGTAAGCTTATATTGCGCATTGATATAGATCCCCGGCAAATCTTGACAAGAATTAACCAGAGCCTCTGATTTAGCATTCCGCGATTTTCTGCTTTTGCAAAAGGCGCGGCATTAAGAAATCTTCGCGTGCGCCGTAAACACAGGTGTACAGTCGTAGTTTATGTGTACATGTGTGTGTGTGTGGTGATAATTTACTACCTTGCTGCGATCCGCCAGCACTAATGTAACCGCACCACGGGCGGCAGTGGAGGCGGCACACGCGAATTTCATATAGCTATATGAGTGTGTGCGTGTTGGTTCGTGAATGGGCTTGCGTGTCCTTCCGCACCATTGTGCGAGCTGTCTTCAGCCTGTTGAATTGTGAATTTCCAAGGGGCGCATCCGTTCGGCGTGTGCTTTAGCTTCAATTTTGGTTTCGTGCAGCGCGAATCTACGGCTGTGCATTCGACGTGGATTGTGCGCTCACAGCTTCATTTTAGCGCTAATGCGTACGTGAACGGGAAACAAATTCGCAAAAACTAATTTTACAGCCTTAGAACCACAATAGTATATTAGATACTTAGTGTTTTTCATATCACGATGTAGAAAACATTGTTTTCTACACTGCTGCACAGGAAAACTGTGTTTTCAAATGAGGTAATCGATAAAAATTGTTAAAAAAATAAGTAAACATTAAAAAAAATCGCCAAACACTAATTTTACTGCCCTATAGCTGCAATAGTTCATTTATTGTTGGTATTTTCCAAACAGGGATGTGGAAAACATGGTAACAAATAAATAAAATTGTTCAAAAAGTACGTGAAAAGAAAAAAAATCGCAAAACTAATTTTACAGCCCTATAGCTGCAATAGTTCAGCAGATTTTAGTGTTTTCCAAACATAGAAGTGGAAAACATTGTTTTCTACAACGCTGTACAGAAAACTGCGTTTTCAAATGAAGTAATAGACAAAAAATGTTCAAAAAATGCTTAAAAAGAAAATTCTCAAAAAATTAATTTTACAGTCCTAGATCAACAATAGATCGTTACATTATTAGTGTTTTCCACACACTGACATGGAAAACATAGTTTTCTACACCGTTATACCAAAAATTGCGTTTTCAAATGACTAGCGCACATAAAATATTTTCAAAAAATAAATTTTACTATGCCTATTTCCTAACAGAAAAATAAATCACCCCAGTGACATTCCCAAAGTTAAATATATATAGTACTTACATAAACGTGTCCATTTGTGCGAATGGCAAGAAAGCGCAACGCGAAAAAGCTTCCTTAGATGCATTGCGGACTGTTAGTGGTCCGAATTGCACCCAAGGCGCTCGTAAATAAAAGTTTCGTGTAAAAACGCGTGTATTACTGATTTGTTTTGATGGCCCCGGCTCTGGGAAAAAGTTTGCGAAAAGTGCTCGCACCATCCACTTTGTATAAAATATAACATAACCTATCTTAGGCCGAAAACGGGCGTCATCCACTCATAAATGTAATAACCACCGGTCTGCATTATTCATCTAGTTTTTTGTTTCTTCCCAAACCAGCAAAATAAACAATCACCGACCGGAGAGTTGAACTAAAAGTCGCGACAAGATTCGCTTGAAAATTAGGGCTTTAGACACCGGCACCGTTTATTAATTCAATGTTAGCGTTTAGATTTAACTTTGTGAAATAGTGGACGTGCATGTTGAGTGTTGAGGGCGACCGTCTGAAGGGTCCTTCAGGAAATTACCAAAGTTAGATATAAATGCTGATAACAAATTAAATAATAATAATACGCGCATACGTCCGGCGCATGCGAAAACCACACATTCACACACACACACACACACACAAGAGTAGAGTGTATGAAAGTTTGCGTCGTTAGCAAAATTTGCGGTCGACGGCGGCTACGGCGTTGAAAACCAGTGCAAGGAAAAGGGACGAAATAAGGGCCCCGGACGAGACGGGGCAAAGTTTTTCGGGCCGGGTGGGCGCGCACCCTGCACGTATAAGTTGTACCTCTATGCCCACAATTAGTGCACTCCACTCTCGGCCGTACGGGGACAATTAGAGACCTTCGTCCTGGAGGACCAAACCCGCATCCTAATCAGCGCATGAATTCCTCTTCTCCTGCCAACTCATCTTCCTACAACGCTATTTCAAGTCGAGCACACTTAACGCATTTTTAAACCAAAAACACTCGAATATTATAAATAATTAAATTGTTTTAATGCAAAAAAGCTTTTGGTCTTTGGCGGCGAGGGCAAATTTATTAAAAAGTTAAATGAGAAAGCAACACACCGATAATATCCCGCGCTGCGGTTGATTATAAGATAACAACTCCTTTAGGAATTTCGATTAAAACACACGCCGCGCGCGCGGCCAAACGGCCCCGGCCAGAATTACAACATCAATAAAGCACACCGCAACTCTCGCACACTTAAAAATATTGTGCAAACCGCGAAACGGCGAGAAACACTTGTAAGTCACACACGAGTCACCTTCATATGTGTGTGTGTGTAGGAGATGTGCAGCCGGCGGTTGTTGGCACCGTTCGCCGTCCGCATCCGCACGATGCATGGGGTGAGTGGTGCAGTCGCAAAAGCAATATGCAATTTGTATTCGCGCGCGTGGGCGATGCTTGCTGCTGCAAATATGCCAGCAAATAATGTCATCGTTTGTGGGTTCGTGATATTGCGCTCGGGCGAAGAAATAATTGTGTCACATTGAATTTCCGGCGCAGAGAGTGCATTTTTCAATAAGTGCATTAGATTTATACGCGCGCGCGACAAGCGAAGAAAGCATTTTTTAATTTGATGCTAAAAATATACCAATAGGTAAAAAAAATATCAAAGTAACTTTAATGTGCGTACTATATGTTGAAAGTTTATTTAAACTAAAAAGTAGTTAGTGCAGTTCGTTGTTCTTTGATGGTTATTCATCACGAGTGCATGAGACACCGAGTATGCTCTTAAGATGCACGAGAAGCGAGTAAAACTTCAGTTAGTAATATTTAACTTTGCAAACATATGCAAGTAAAACCGTAATAAAAACCTTTGCGCAAACATCGCGGTCATAAAAACACAATAAAGATGCATTTACTGCATCCATAAATTACACACAGATATAACTTTAAACAGCGCATATTTTATTAATTTTCTTCTCGCGCCAAAATGAATACTAAACAGTGAAAATCTCCATAACGCATCTCGAAATGCAAATATCGCCCCGGTGTGGTGGTTTTTTATTTCGCGCAGCCAAACAATGAATGTCACGGTGTTTCTTTTTCCGGTGTTTCCGAAACCGGTAACTTTATTCCCTCGTATGAATATTTAATAGGGCGTCGTCAAAAGAAATCGACGTGCGGCGCGCACGATATTTAAAACACCGCAAACTTTCCACGGTGCCAAATAAATAGGTACCAAAACAAACACAAACTTTGTGTGCCTCCTTTTCACAATGCGAATTTACGCTGAGAGCTTGCGCAAAACTTGCCTCGTTCAATGTAATCATTTCGGTGCATAATTGTAAAGTTCATCCACTGCAAAGAGATTTCCACACTGATGGTGGAGGCGCCGCGCGCGACGCAAAACTGTTTCATATTTTAAAATATCTTTGCGTACACGCTAATTGCGTATTTGTGTTTTCCGCGTACTTCAAACTTTAAAGTTACATTACATTAGCCAAAGGACTTGATATTGTTCCACTTTCACTTTGATCTTTCTTCTTTTACATGCGAATAAATACGAAAGAAGTATTCTACATTAATAACCTTGTTTTATGCGTGCGGAATATTAGTGCATTCAAGCAGAGACATATGAGCCGGTTGAGAAACGAATGTGCCGCCGGTGAGTGAGAGAGCATTTAAAGATTTATCTTCATTCAAACGGAACATATAGCGGAGTCGGATTTATTACGAGATTGCATTACTCGTTGGGAAATTGAAGTTTTGGACGTGTGCACGGCGAGCGGATGCCGTTTCTCAGGAAAGCGCTTAAATATTCGATGCTAGTAAAGCTCGCCGGGCGTATACCTAGTATTGACACAAACGAATGTTGGCCCGCCGAATGCGAATGCGCTGCAAGGCAATGAGAGGAATTAAACACGCGGGCGCGTAGGCGGACATTAATACGTCGACATTAATTTCATTGGATTGCGGGAAGGGATTTAATATCGAGACGCGGTGCTTTTCATTTTACGTAGGTATCTACGCATGTTTTTGTTGTCTAGTTGCAATATCGCAGCAGCACGCGATTGTAATTAGAAATCCTTTGCGATTGAGATACAAACGGCGAATGAAAGCAGCCGGTGGCGACTTCGTCGCCGTCGCGGC